GTAGACTGCTGGTTGTGGTCTTGGTCTTGGACTCCCCTGCAGACTGCTGGTTGTGGTCTTGGTCTTGGACTCCCCTGCAGACTGCTGGTTGTGGTTGTGGTCCTGGTCTTGGACTCCCTTGCAGACTGCTGGTTGTGGTTGTGGTCCTGGTCTTGGACTCCCTTGCAGACTGCTGGTTGTGGTTGTGGTCCTGGTCTTGGACTCCCCTGCAGACTGCTGGTTGTGGTCCTGGTCTTGGACTCCCCTGCAGACTGCTGGTTGTGGTTGTGGTCCTGGTCTTGGACTCCCCTGCAGACTGCTGGTTGTGGTCCTGACCCTGGTCTGTGTTGGTCCAGATGAAGGAGGGACGCAGGACTTCCAGTCTTAAGGCCAGCTATGAGGCCATCAAGAACAACGACTTCCAGCTGAGCAGAGAGTTCTCTGTGAGCCGGGACAGTACCGGGTACTCCTCCTCCGCCCTGGCCTCCACCCTGACCCAGACCCTCACCTCCACCGCCACCTCCGACTCCAGGGGGCGCAAGTCCAAGTGAGTCCAGGCTCCGCCCACATTCTACAGCAGTGTGACATGACCAAACAGGCTCCGCCCACACCTGCWTGTTCCTGTTTTCCAGGAGCAGCATCAAGTCGTCCACTCAGCAGTCTTCTTCATCYTCCTCCTCTTCCTCCCTGTCGTCCTGCTCCTCATCGTCAGCTCTGGCCCAGGAGCTGTCCCAGCAGGCTGCGGTTCTGCCTGAAGCTGATGTCARCAACCAGGTGGACTGGACCTACGACCCCAACGAGCCCCGCTACTGCATCTGCAACCAGGTAGGCTCAGACCTGCACAGACCGGTCCTGGTCCAGGTCCTGGTTCTGACGAGCTGTTGGACTCTTTCAGGTGTCCTATGGAGAGATGGTCGGCTGTGACAACACAGATGTGGGTATCAGCTGTTCATGGTTCTGGTTGTGGGCTCAGAGTCCTGTATCGACCCGTTTCCTGTGTCCTCAGTGTCCCATCGAGTGGTTCCACTAYGGCTGTGTGGGTCTGACCGAGGCCCCCAAAGGCAAGTGGTTCTGTCCTCAGTGTACCGCCGCCATGAAGAGGAGAGGCAGCCGCCACAAGTAGACCTGCTGTTCCTCACAGGTCAGACATGAAGTCAAACACACGAGTCAGAAGGTTGGGTTTACTCAGACCTTAGTCTGTGTGTGGATCATCTCAGGTTCTGCTTCCTCTGACACACACACACAGAGACACACACACTAATATTTAAGACACATGAGGTGACCTGTTATCACANCTGAGAGTAAGTCCTGCCACACCGACACTGAGAATAAGTCCTGTCACACCGACACTGAGAGTAAGTCCTCCCACACCAACACTGAGAGTAAGTCCTCTCATACCAACACTGAGAGTAAGTCCTGTCACACACCAACACTGAGAGTAAGTTCTGTCACACCAACACTGAGAGTAAGTCCTCCCACACCAACACTGAGAGTAAGTCCTGTCACACCAACACTGAGAGTAAGTCCTCCCACACCAACACTGAGAGTAAGTCCTGTCACACCAACACTGAGAGTAAGTCCTCCCACACCAACACTGAGAATAAGTCCTGTCACATCAACACTGAGAGTAAGTCCTGTCACACACCAACACTGAGAGTAAGTCTTCCCACACCAACACTGAGAGTAAGTCCTCCCACACCAACACTGAGAGTAAGTCCTCCCACACCAAC